ATATTAAGCTCAACAAATTTAGATCAATTTATGAAAGTAGTAAAGTTACTGTCTCTACTATTTTTTATTTTTCGCTGGAACATGTAACAACTCTGTTAATTATAATTTTTGATTTAATATAAAATATTTAACCTCTGATATCCCAAGATATCTTAGGGACGTTAATGGGATATCAAACTCCGACCCTTAAGATATCCCTCAGATGTCTATAAATATCTGAGAAATATCCATAGATATCCCCTGAACATACTCAAGCTATCAAAAGATCCTTCCCATGACATATTTTGTGTAATATTCATAGGATATCCCAGATATTTCGGGATCTAAACAGGACGGGTATCGGATCTAACAAAAAATATAAATTCCATTTTCTGATCTAGATAGATAAATTCAGTACCATAAAATGATGTAAACTCGGCGTTAGCGGAAAAGTCGGCGATTATTACAAAATTAATTTCCGCGGACAAATACATCTACAGCTCACAATTCCTAACCGATTGAAATTTTTTTAAATACTCTGCATTAAATACCGAACAAATGTAAGAGAAGCGATTTTCAATTTAGTTTGTAATTTAGAGGTTATGTAAGCAAAAGTACCATAAAAAATTGAACAAGTTGAAAATTCAGATGTTCATTACATGAACATTTTGCTTCCTCTTTACGATCAGCAAAAAAATTTGCTTCCTCGTGGAGAAAGCAAAATTTTATTGCCAAAATGTGAATTTTTGATTTTTTAACTTTCATTAATTCTTTAAATTTACCTCAAATGTATACTTTATATATATCGATCGATTCGTCTTGACGTAAGGAATACAATTTTATTATATATACCCGTGTGGAAAAAGCCACGATCTTGCCCTCAAGAGTTCGGGGCCCCCGGCGGGGGCCCATGAGGGCTGATCCATATGGCGAATCCATGAGGGGCACCGTAGGGGCCCCGCATGGATCGCCCTCATGATCGATTAGCAAAATTTTCTAAGTCCAAAAATCAAATATTTTTTTATCACCAAAAAATTAATGTTTATAATGATTCAGAACAACGAAAAACGCGTTTTTAATAAAAATATATTTACACTTTTTTGAAAATAACACTCACACTTATGGCAAAATAGATGAGGGCCATCGTAGGGGCCCGCATGGATCGCCCTCATGGTCGATTAGCAAAATTTTCTAAGTCCAAAAATCAAATATTTTTTTATCACCAAAAAATTAATGTTTATAATGATTCAGAACAACGAAAAACGCGTTTTTAATAAAAATATATTTACACTTTTTTGAAAATAACACTCACACTTATGGCAAAATAGATGAGGGCCATCGTAGGGGCCCGCATGGATCGCCCTCATGGTCGATTAGCAAAATTTTCTAAGTCCAAAAATCAAATATTTTTTTATCACCAAAAAATTAATGTTTATAATGATTCAGAACAACGAAAAACGCGTTTTTAATAAAAATATATTTACACTTTTTTGAAAATAACACTCACACTTATGGCAAAATAGATGAGGGCCATCGTAGGGGCCCGCATGGATCGCCCTCATGGTCGATTAGCAAAATTTTCTAAGTCCAAAAATCAAATATTTTTTTATCACCAAAAAATTAATGTTTATAATGATTCAGAACAACGAAAAACGCGTTTTTAATAAAAATATATTTACACTTTTTTGAAAATAACACTCACACTTATGGCAAAATAGATGAGGGCCATCGTAGGGGCCCGCATGGATCGCCCTCATGGTCGATTAGCAAAATTTTCTAAGTCCAAAATTCAAATATTTTTTCGTCAACAAAAAATGAATGTTTCCAATGATTCAGAACAACGAAAAACGCGTTTTTAATAAAAATATATTTACACTTTTTTTGAAAATTCACCTGAGATGATTCATGATAATAATCATAAAGCATATAATTAATTATATTTTATAAATTGCATTTGATTGGAAAATATAATTTAATATCTTAACTTTAACTAAATGATGTTAAGCACTTTTCTTTGTTAGGTATTTTTGAAGTTTAAATAGCATCAAGAAGTTAGCATTCGTTTTGAAGTAGCGTGCGTAGCGTAGTTGGTAAAGCGTTAGACTCATAGTCCGTAGGTCGTAGGTTCGATTCCCCCCATGCGTTAGATTTATTTATTTCTCAGGTTTGCGTTTAATCATTAATTCTATGTATGAATTAATTGAAAAATGAAAATATCCGTTAATAGTATGCATAAAATACATATTTTTTAATTTTTTAATTAATTAATTTATTATTACTTTTAATTATATCCGACAGTTAATTAATTAGAACGTTAATTAATAAATTCAATTTGAGTAAGAATTTAATTTAAAATTGAATAATTATTAAATAAATATGTTATTTATTCATAACTTAAGCTTATTTATTATTAATTAACTTTTATTATTAATATTATTGATTAAAAAACATTATGGCAAACTTGAGGGCAAGATGAGGGCAAACGTGAGGGCCCATAAGGGCGCCCGTAGGGGCACCCTCATGGATCGCCCATGCGGGCGCCCTCATCGATGAGCATGTCGTTTCCATGAGGGGCCCCTATGGATCATCCATATGCGGCCCTCATGGCATGAGGGCGATCCATAAGGGCCCCCGCTGGGGGCCCACATCTCTTTTCCACACGGGTAACCTTAAATTTTTCTATTAAAAAATTTTTTCGATTAAAAAAAAATTTTTGGAAAAAAGACGATAAAATTTTTTTTTTTGGGTATTTTTTAAAAACCTTTGGTCAGATTTGAGATATTAATATGATAAATGAGCCTACCAAATTTTATCTAAATCCATTAAAACCTGTTAAAGTTGAAAAGTTTTATAAACGAAAGGACTACAAAGCTTTCTCCACGAGGAAGCAAAATCATGATTAAATATTTTTAAAAAATTTTAAGGGGCTATACTAGTGTAATCTATAAAAAATTAGGCGATTTTTGGGAATTTTTTAAAAGAAAGTACTCGATAGTATGTTTTGAAGTTTTTTGGACATAATAAGGTATATTTTTAGCTATATTTTAAGATTTTTTCTTACAAAAATATTGAAAAATAACTGAGTTTTGTGCTGTCTTCGGAGGTGCCAAAAAAATGTTCCCTAACTGCTGACATGATTCCGGACGAATGAGTAGCTGAAACAAAAAAATTCAAAAAGGTTCTTAAAGGTATTTCCAATACAATAATATACGATTTTTGAAAAATATCAAAAATTTACAAAATTGCGTAGTTCTGAAAAAACTATCGTTTTTAGGGGTAAAAAATGGTCGTTTTTTAATGACAAATTGACAATTTTCAACCAATCAAAAAGATCCTAGGTCATTGTATAGTAAATATATTCAAGAATACTCAGTTTCAATTTGAAGTCGATCGGTCAATTTCTCGTTGAGTTATGATGTCTGCAATTTTGAAAAATGTCGTTTCGAGAAAAACGCGTTTAAAGTCCGTCTATAAGCAGGTGGGGTGGTTTATACCTGCGAGCGGTCGCAATTTAGGGGCCGTCTATAAACTACGTTACCTACTTTAGGGGGAAGCGGGTCAAATAGTTTTAAAAAATGCATTTAACACAATGGTAACGAGGGGAAAGGGGGTCTAAAAAGAATGAAAATTGGTAACGTAGTTTATAGCCCCTTAGAACGTTTCCATTAAAAAACTATTCAAAATACGACCTTGCCGTTTTCACAGGATATTTATGATAGTATAAGCTATCGAATAAGCAAAAAAAAGTTATTTTTATGAAAAATTTTATATTTTCAAAATCTGAAAAGACATCTTTTAAATATGATAAAGACATCTTTATGAACAAGCTTAGTACCTTTTTTGGACGTATTTCAGACATATTATTCACGTTGTTGAGATATACCGTACGAGGGCAAATTAAAGACTTCTTTAATCGAAGTCCAAAAGACGTCCGCATAAAGACATTCTCAGAACGTCTTTGGAACAAGTGTGCCCACTGGGATGTAGCTTTTTGTTTTCTTACATTTACAAGCTTTTATTTGTCAATTTTAACAAAAAATAAGTTTATTATTACTGTATCTCGGAAACTATTAGGGCTATCACATAGTTTTTTGGCAAATTGTCAGACATTTAGTCAGCTATAACTTCTCTGTTAAACACTTTTTCGAAAAAACATACACTACCGTCGGAAATTGTCGGTACGATTAACGTTCGAGGAGTGGAAATTCGGCGCTGACATTAAAGCAAGATATTTCAAGTTAGAAAAAAGTTATAGACTTTTAGCTTAGATGGTTGGAAAGCTGATAAAATTCTGCTTCTAAATGTATATCAAGAAAATTTTTTTCTTTTTTTTTGTATTTATAACACAGAAAAGATTTCAAGCAAAAATTATGCAATTTTCATACTGTTGTACTAATGTTTTTGACTTCCGGCATAATCTAGAATAATGTATGGAAAAATTTGACAATTTTACAACATAATCTTTAAGATCTCAGCTTTAATTTTCATTTTAAAAAATTTTTTAAATGTTTTATGGTTCCTGAAATATACTAAAAAAGGTCCGAGCATGTTTTTTTACAAATCAGCCGTCGATCATCACTTTTTGCCGCCTCGCTGCTGGCTTGTAGAAAAACATGCTCGAACATTTTTTAACATATTTTAGGTACTACAAAACATTTTTTAAGTTTCAAAAAATCAAATTAAAGCTAAGAACTTAAAGATTGTGTTAAAATTTTGAAATTTTTACGCTAAAATGTAATAGAAGGCTGTAATTTGCAAAAAAAATTGATTTTTTGCACTTACTACAGAACAAATTTTTAGGTTTTGGAAAGACTTCGAAATACAAAATTTAAGTACTTTTTTACCCCAAAATGAAGAGTTTATGCAAAACAAATTGTTGTCCTTAGATAAAATGTCTAAAAATGCTAACTTGACTGGATTAACATATTTATATTGAATTCAACTGAAAAAGCATTTTCTTGTCGGGAGGCGTCGAAATGGTCAAAATTCTTTTGTAAAGAGTAAATATTTCTGTTACAAAGGTATTCGATAGGAAGGTCTGACGCGGATGCTGGTGTACAGTATTCATGGCTGTGGAAATTGGCCAATGTTACTCAGTCTCCATATAGCTACTTGTGGACTAATGCAAGTACTGGTCCGGAACTCGTGGCAGGACCATCCCGTCGGACGATGTATGTCACAGCTTTATATTTTACTATGACTTGCATGACCTCCGTGGGATTTGGAAATGTTGCTGCGGAGACTGACAATGAAAAGATCTTTACCATTTGTATGATGATTATCGCTGGTAAGAAATTATATTCTTTAACTAGAATTATTGTTACTTATGAGAAATTAATTGTTAATTATTGGATTATTATCATTTATCTTCATAAATATTATGTACTCTCAACACAAAGCGGATTTTTACCTTACAAAGTTAGACGGCCTACATACCGAGGCATGACTTTACGTAAGCCATTAGGAGACCTTAATTTTGGGGTATGAACTTAACTGTACACCGTCGTATGCTTTTGTTGTGTTTCTAGAAATCATTTCCGCAAATATTTCACGTGGAAACCTATAAACCTATATTATTTGTGACATGAAGCGCCATCTATTTTTACTTATTTGGAACTAATTTTAACTATGATCTGGAGGAGAGGCGTAGTCAATAATGAGTCTTTATTTAAACCTTCGAACTAATAGTATACTGTTTAAATAAAAGATACAAAATAATAAAAGAATATAAAACAATCACAAGCCAACAGAATTCGAAATTTTTTTGGTGCAGCAAATGACAAAGCTGTTTCTGATAGGTTTTTTCATGCTGACCACGATTCCGTAAACGAAAATTTTCTATCAGCTCTAGTTTTTGAGAAAAACAAGTTGAAAATGTCAAGAAATCGCGTTTTTGTCAAACTTTAAGTACCTCTAGCAATGAAACAAAAGGTTATAGAACCTTCCACTTAGGCTGAAATTGAAGCTTAATGTTTTTGCTATAATCCTCAAAAAGCACCTTTCTGGCATCGTGACCTCAAAGTCATTTGTAATATATTTTTGAGTCGCAAAAATTAAATTTGTAGAAGTTTGAGTGCGTACCACCGGCGATGTAACGAAAGGTCATGTAATCTTTTTTTGGGCTTAAACTAAAGATTAAACTTTAGACCACAATCCATGAAAATTAATTTCCAGCACCTTAACCTCAAAGTCATTAGTAATGAAGCAATTTTGACAATGGATACCAACAATTTGAGGTTATTGTTGCATCAATATAATTTTTTGGGATTGTAGTCTAAAGTTTTAGCTTTAGTTTCAGCCCACATAAAAGGTTCTATGGCCATTTGTTCAAACTTTTCCGAAATTAATTTTTGTGACTCAAAAATGTAATACCAATGACTTTGGAGTCATGGTGCCCAGTACCGGGGCAAGGATAGTTAAAAGAATCCAAATGCTAAAATTGGCATAGAAAATCAGTAAATTTTCGGTTTCTTTATTTTATTGGATTTAGACTATTCAATATTGATATATCAAGTATTAACAACATGTTTTGAACATTTTCTAAATATCAATTATTGCATTAAAATTCGTCTGAACTAAAATCTGAGGTTTAACCAATTTTCTTCAGATGATCACCAATTTCTTGGTCAATAAGCTTCTTTTTTCGTATTTAATTACATACCATTATGTATATCAACATATAAAGAACAATTAAACATTTTTTTATAATTTGCAGTCGCATTAGCAGGATTTTATCGAGCCGTAATAGCCCTAACTATCCTTGCCCCATGAGCCCATATTTCAGTTTTTTCTAAATTTTAAGGAACGACGTTAATTAATTTGAAAATAAATACGATATTCGTGTTCAGCAGGAAATTTCACTCCGGAAAACACTTACGAAAATAAATATTCGGAAGCACTAATATAGAAAACAGTATGATAAACACTACGTTGACATTTTAGCAAAACAGACTTTTTACAAAAATAAACTCCTGACTTCGCAAATGGTGGCAGATTGACTTCCAATTTTTACTATCATCTATTGGTGTTAAGACGCAAATATACCATGAATGACGCGAATTTTGAGCAAGCCGTCTAAACATAACAGCAACTAACTATCCTTACCCCTTAACTATCCTTGCCCCATCCTCCCCTACTGAGTTTAATTTTATAACTGAAATGAAATGTGTTCAACTGCTAATGCTTGGTTGGTCTACAACACTGCCTTCTACGGTAATGTTCTGGACATTTCCCTATCTGTGAGAAATACAAAAGATAGCTTTAATTATCGCGATCGTGTTCACTAGGGCTTTATCCCAATATAATCCAAAATGTTAAGTTAGCTATCACGGCAAACGAAAACAAGAATGTGCACTCTGAGATAATCTTCTCCAGGGAAAACTAGAAGGGAGACGATTGGGTTGAAGAATCAGGCATGTATGTACCAGATACTCTTACCTGTTGTGATCTAGGAACATCAAGGAACTTCTCAGAGAAATATCTTAAATCAAGGGGCATTCTAAGTAAAAGATACCTTCCTGAGCTTCGCATCCAGGTGATAGAGAATGCTCCAGTACTTTAGGTTCTTGGATGATGACGTGGGACGAGGAAGTCAAGGAAGGTTCATTTGACACGGAGGCACCCATAGTCAAGCATATCTTTCTTTGCTCTACCTGTATTCAATGAGGAGCACCTCAATTGTAAACCTGTAATCATTGATTACAGGTTTACAATTGAGGGTTCACATGCAATAAGGGGATACGCATGAAAGTGAAAGTCCCCGCGTACAGCGATTCTGCGGCTGCGCGAGGGGCTAACGAAAATACTGCGCGTCCCCTTATTGTATGTGAACCCTCAATTGAGGTGCTCCTCATTGAATACAGGTAGAGCAAAGAAAGGATTACAGGTCATTGAATAAAGGTAGCCACACGGAAAGAATTTTGAGACGTCTGCTGTGCGGACGCTTCGAGAACTACGTGGCATGGGATGTCCTTTCACTATGCACATGTGGTGTGCATTTTCGAGACATCAAACGTTCTGGTTTCGGCGCAACTGTTAGTTCGGGCCTATGCTCACGTGGTGTCTTTCTACTCGGTGCATGATAGACGCATGGTTTCAAATCATGGTATATTGTGTTATAGAGACTAACCTCATTTTTATATTTATAAATGGGTTGTCACTATTTTTTCTGTTTATCCTTTTAATTGTAAAAATTCTTCTAACCTACTTTTAACTGCTTAAAGAATTTTCATTCAATAATTAATAAGAGGATTTATTTTCTTAATCAATAACATAAATAAAACTTTCTTAGATATTGTTTTAAATTAAAGAAAACAATAAAAAAAAATTTTGTATATATATATATATGAAGACAATTAATTTTGACAATACTTCTCACTTCATAAAAGTTATTCACTATTCACATTCAATGACTTTTACTTAATTTATAACATAAATATTGATATGGAAACATATAAAACAAAAAGACAAAACTGTGTTAAAAATAAAATTTATTTTTAATTTATAAAAATAAATAAATCTCTCATATAAATATTAAAATATGTATTTTATGTACAAGAATTTTATTCTATAACTAGCGATATATTCCTCGCTCGCTAACGCTCGCTCGGTTGAAGTTTTACTTTTTTTCCTTTACGTATTGTTGTTTATTCATATGTATATTTATTTTTTGTTTTAAAATATTATTTCATTATAAATTATAATAATTCAATTTTTTTAATTTTCAAATTACTTTTTAAAAAAAATTTAATTTAATGTAATAAAACAAATTTTATATGTCTGTTGACTTAAATTCTGATTTTATTCTACAATATTGATTGTAAATTGTTTCTCTTTTTTTCAATTGCTACTAAATGCTATGTAAGGAAAACTGGTAAGGGCCTTACCACTTTTCCTAACGAATACCCTACTTTTTAATATTATATAGTATTCAAATTTGTAAATCTAAAAATATATTTTTAATTCAATATAATGAGTCGGTATCAAAACTACACAAGAATTTTCATAAAAAAGTTATATTGTACAAAACATAAAAATTGTTATTTTTTACATTATACTTTTTTAATGTTGTTTTTATTTTTTGTAAATTTTAACTTTTTTTAAATGAAAAAATTTTTTTTTTTAATTTGTTATTTTGTACATTGAATTTTTTTTTGTTTTTTCTTAACGTTATTTTTTACATAATTTTTTTAGTTATTTTTTACATAATTTTTTTTGGTTATATTTTACATAATTTTTTTTGTTATTTTTTACATATAGAAAAAAATTTTTCGTTATTTTTTTGGGGCGGTTTGAGGTGCCCACAAACTGAATGCATACATTGAAACTGTATATAAGCTGCATTTACAAGTACAAATGAATTTTAACATTAATTCATATGCAGTTTAAAGTTTGGGTCAGTTGGGGTAAATGGGGACAAAATCCCTATTTTTCACAAATTACGTAAGTTGCTTCCTTTAAAAGGTAATATTTGCTGGTTTATATTTTTTAAGTTGTTATTTACATTCCCAGGATTAATTTTATGCAGCAGAAATAAATTTAGGTAAGCTTTAAACGCATGAAACTGACTGTCCTTATTTACAGTAAGATTTAAAAAAAAATTTTAAATTTGGGGTAAATGGGGACAGCATAGTTTCTACGAAAGGTTTAAGAAAAACGTTTCCTTAAGTATATTACTGTACTAAGGGATGGAAAAACTTGAAAATTTTTGTCAATTTGGTTAATAATAACACTAAAAATTTGAAAACTCGGAGTAAATGGGGACATTTTGTTATTATTAACCAAATCGACAAAAATCAAAAATTCAAGTGGATTTTTGTTAAGGAAATCATAAGGAATAAGAAAAAATTTTTGTATGATTTTTAAGTTTGTTTTCTTTGAAATGCGAGACAAAATACTTAAATAAAAAAAATAATAAAAGATATCAATTAAGCAAAAATCAATTTATAAAAAAAATTTAAGTTCGTCCGCCCTATTAACAATTTCTTTCAAGTATTATTATCCCTTAATACAGTAATATACTTAAGGAAACGTTTTTCTTAAACCTTTCGTAGAAACTATGCTGTCCCCATTTACCCCAAATTTAAATTTTTTTTTTAAATCTGACTGTAAATAAGGACAGTCAGTTTCATGCGTTTAAAGCTTATCTAAATTTATTTCTGCTGCATAAAATTAATCCTGGGAATGTAAATAACAACTTAAAAAATATAAACCAGCAAATATTACCTTTTAAAGGAAGCAACTTACGTAATTTGTGAAAAATAGGGATTTTGTCCCCATTTACCCCAA